AGTTCTGCATTTAATTGTGTTTTTACACTTTTAGCTTAAAACCTTGGAGGATGAGTTTAACCAAGAGAAGATCACGTTGAGCAAGTTCAGGGCTGCATTTCAGAGCCTCGAGGTAACACAGCTGGTTCTAATTTAACACTTCTCTCCACGCCTTCTAGTAAGGAGATGACTCTACGTGCATTTGATGGAGACATTTCAATTATTACAGCATGGGTTGTTTAAAAGTTACAACGAGCTTCTAAATTCATGATTATGTTGCACAAATTAGTAAAAGTCAGGTGGTGAATTGTTCAAACATCGATTGAATTGAGGGAAGTGTAAAAGTTGCTTTAAACAATGAATAAACTCCTGATTTGTGACTTTGTTCTGTGTTTCGTCAGAATGAATTGGAGGAAGCTCAGTTAGAGCTTCAGCACAGGTACGATGTGATTCGTCAGGTAAGAACATCAAAACAATGCAGTAAATCTGGAGTCAAGGTTTTGATTCATTTATTTATTACAAATAAAAATCATTCCCCTTAAAGTTTTACGTTTACCATCTCGTTTTGTCTGTGTGTGACTGTGACAGAAAAGCCTACAGGTAAACCATCTGGAGGAAACTGTGGAGGAATATAACAACATCATAAAGGTAAATGTTTTCTAACCTGTTCAATTATTATTTGTACAGTTTATTCAAAGTAAAGTACTAAACCAATGAAATTTCATTATTCCATTAAGACATGTAAAGACTGAATATTTTGGCTATTAAACCATTTTGTTCTTTTCAAATAATGCAAGTGTGGATTAGCAATTTTGATCTTTTTTTTTTTGTGGAACAGTGCATGAGCCCTCACATTTATGCTCTCACGTGGGCATAAATAGGAGTGGGAAATATCATAAATAAATAAATAACATCATAAATATGTTTTGAAGAAGACAAACTGTCCAGAGGACCTGAATTAACTTTGTTGGATTTTCTACCTGGATTATTGAGCATGAACTGTGATGTTTTGAACCACTTTGGCTCTGACTGCTTCAGAAGAGTTGACGGGGGAGAGGACGGACTCCAGAAACCATCTTATCACCATAAAACTGGTTGGCCCACTATGTGAGTGGGCTGCTTGTGGGACTGAGTTTGTTGTGACTCTTCGGACTGATGAAGTCCTTTGGATGCAAGACGAAACGTTTCAACTAAAAGAACCATCCAAAAGACATGGCTTAACTTTGTTGAATTTTTTTACCTGGATTACTGAGCATGAACTTTGATCAATGAGAACAGATTTCTCAACGTGTTTCTATAAATTTGTATTTCTAAATATAATTCAGCCTTAGACAGTTGTATTCAGAAATTTGAGTTGGGCTTTGATTGAATTGTTCAGATGCATCACACAGGTCAGAAACTACAAATGAAGAAATGACTGATGGTCTTCCAACAGTCGACAACTTTTTTAATGTTACTGTTTGACCGTTAAAGCCATCTGCTCATGTTCCTCTGCTCCAGGACCTCAGGCTGACGAAGCAGGAGCTGAAAAAGCAGCTGGAGGACAGACAAGACGAAGCCTCATTGTAACCCTTTGATTTTGTTTTAAATGGTCAGTGTAGCACGGTGATCGCTGTTTTACTGTGTTCTGCTGTTTGTTTTTCAGTGCTGTCCTTACAGAAGTGTTGAGAGAAGATGAGGGATCCGTCAATCTTCATCTGTCCTTAGCAGAGGAAATTCAGATGCTAATGTCATCGGCTGAAATGAATACCAGCATGTTATACTCGACACATCTTACTGGGGTGACTTCTGAAGAGGAGAAATATGTAAAATACTCTAATTTTTTTGTTTGTTTCTTATGTAGACTTGATTTGAATGATTAATAATATTATATATATATATATATATATATATATATATATATATA